TTAACTGTCTGTGGCCTCGAATAATTTTTAAGCATACGGACAGATTTTAGTATGGTGACTTCTCATCTAGTATCTCGTGTGCTGTTTTTAAAGGAATTGATCTCTGGTCAGTTTTTAATAAGAAATGGAAAAACGAACGGCGATCATTCAGAAAGATATTATTTATTTGTTGAATTATAATCGAAAAAATTGTTTCGATTGCATTGTCTTTCTCGAAGCGATATAGTGTATGCGTAAAAAGTATTTGTTTTGAATGAATTCTCATTATATGTCAAATAAAGCTTTTCTTTACATTGTTTGTACTTAAACGAATGTTTTACAATCTGTCTGTGCCTTGCCTCTATATAGTAGTGGTGAAGAATTCAGTTGCTGAGTTTACTTAGATGGCTATCACTTAAAGCACCTGGAACAGCATTATCGTAACCTTCGTTAATTGTGGCGTAGCAGCACCTTACCGAAACGTTCAGCTAAGATGAAACCAAAACAAGCATATCGATACAGCGCGAAGTGTGTATTAATAGTCCCTGCACAAACGATTCGAACCGAGTGCCTTCAAAACGAAGGGTTTTGAGCATACGTCAAGTGTAAAAAGATAAAAGTACGTGCTACCTCGTCAAAGCAGCAAGTAAGCAAACGAATGGATACTGACCGAGTACTGTCCCAAACAACAGGAACGAACCTGAAATGCAGACCGATCGAACAGCAGGTTAGGTGTTCTGCTATTCGGCGATATTACGGGAAGCGTATAAACTTTATAAATGGCCGGAAGCGCCTGAAACTGAATTGGTCATTTATAATAGACAAAATCTACGGGATGGTACAAAATAATCAATCCAGTTAGTTAAAGATGGAATCTATCAGTGTTCAACAAAACCTCGAAAAAAAAACTGGGCCGGCCTGAAGGTTTCTTAGCAGAAGGCAAAAATACAAATCCTGAAAATGGCTGTGACCATTGCCACTGTTCACGTGGATCAGCGTACATCTACAAAAGTAGAGCAGATCCACTGCGTCAGAACTCACAGGACGCTGCAGTCTTCGGGTCCTCCTTCTTCACGGTCTTATCGTTTCAGTCATGAATGCGGTGTCGCTCATCTGGTCATCAAGTACCTTGTCGCAGCATATCATGTTACGGATATAACTGACCTGCACATTGTTCGAGTGCTATTGTATGAAGTTGAGCCTTGGATGTTGCGAAAAATGGACACAAACAACCTAGAGACCAGCCATATAAAGGTAGAGGCGATTCATCAACTTTGGGTAGAATGGCTTCGTTCGCAGAGACAAACGAAGGGAGAAAAAATGGACAGCCTGAACGTGCCTCTAATTTTCCAACGATTCAATTCTGCCATTGCCAGATGCCACAGCTCTTCGATCGACCTCGAGCCTTTGGCAGTGATGATGCAATGTTAACTATAACTGAATATTTATTTTATACCTTACACAAGATTTGCTATCTAATGAATCAAAGTGAATTGCTACCTCAAGATAATCACATCATTCGATATGACTATAACTCACACGGTCTGGTTGAACCATATCAGAAATGCCTATCATCCGTATTTTTTGTAGGTCAACGAATTGAATTACTACATATTTCCTGTCTTGTTGCATCAAATCTCACAAGGGCTAATTCCCATGCCATGGCAATTAGCAGTTCATGAGATGAGGTCATTGAAGTTCACGGAATTGTAATACGGTCGCTAAAGTGCAATGAAAACTAGGACTTATCACTTGCTCCTTCCCTAATGTTAACAGTCGTTCTACAGCATTAATATATTTTCAACAAGTTGTGATTTCTGAAAGATACTAACACGCTAAACTTATTTCTTAAAGAATACTACAAGCACCACTTTATGTCGTCAGACTCAAATGGCTATATTCTTTGAAAGAAACTATCACACTATTCGTTTTGCATTTGCTCTAGCATACTGGTCATACAGCTTCCGTGTTATTTTTCAGGTCTTTGCATCTGACTTCAAGATCTTTGGATGACCGCCAGAGCTGAAAATTAGATGAGATTGTCGAACAGCTAATATCAGAAAGGTTTTGAACAAATTCTAACATTTTCTGTAGCTGTCAGTATCGACTGTATGATTGAGCGTTAATGTGCTAAAGATTATGTCGGAGTCCTGTCATATAACGTCTCAATGCGTTCACGTTAATGCATGAACGAAATTGTACCGAAAATCTGAATCACATCGTTAGGGCAAATCCTGGACTATGGCTTCGCAGCTACAGCCCAGATCAGGCGTATCAGTAACACATGCGTAAATTAACATGAATAAAAAATAGAACTAGAGCAATAATAATTACAACAAGATGAATAATGAAAAACGGAAAACAAAGACTACAGCCAAAAAACTATAATATAGCTGCATGCAGCTATTAGCTTCTTTGAGACTACGCTCTAAGATTGGTCTGATAACTCTGTGATAGAGTTCTGTCAGAGCAAATGATTTTAAATTTATGCAGTTCAAACCTAATGCATGGCATAAATTCATTTTGTTTTCCGAGCAAAGAACTCATCCCTGTGCATCGGTGCAACTAGCTGAAAACTGGTAGGAAATTGTGTGGAAAACGAACAATAAAAACAGCATGATATTTATCGGTGGGAATATCTGTACAAGCAAACCATAAGGCCATGACCTAAGGTGTGCGCGTCTTAAGTTGCGACTGACTAACCTGACAGCGGATGAATGATCAGCGTACGTGCAGATCGGAAATCATAATAAGCATAATTAGATTGTCCATATCGAAAGCTGTTGATTTGACAAAAATATATACCTGCGGATCTGGTCTACCAGAGGTTTTCAAACTTACCGATGGTTCGCGTTTTTTGAATAGAAAGGAGTTAAGCATGATGGGTAGCTGAATGGGTTAGAAATTTACTAACATAAATTATTGTGTAACTGAAGTACCTGTGCATAATTTGGTATCGTTTAAATAAGTTTCCTTTGGTTTTACAGTGTCGACGATGCAAACCAGTCAAAAGTGCACTGGTCCATCTCGTGAAGGCGCGTAATTAAGTTTCGCGGAAGCTTGTGAGGAGCTTCAAAATAGTAACGACTATCCGAGTCTTCACTGCATTGTACGTATTTTTCCGTACTTATGCATGCAGTCGTTTTTCTATAAGGATTTTGTTTATAGTTAACCTCCGTACGAGGAACTCAGGTAGCGAGGTCGAAGGTTGTTAGTATAATCCAGCAACCATAGCCAATATACATCATAAAAAACCGAAACAAGTTTTCTGATTGTTCACCGCTAAGTTTTTGTGAAAACTTCGCGCAGTGTGCACATGGTTTCAATAAATTTTAACAAAGTTCCACAACTTGGCTAAAACATGCCTTAGGATATGGCAGTGTTAGAGAATGGGCATTCTATTGAGCTAACCATTTTGACAAAGAGGTAGCGATAGCCATTGTCCACAATGGCATCAGTTAAGCGGACCTGTTTGAAATATGGAACAGGTTAAGGTTAAGGAATTTGAGGGTTGGCTTAAGGCGAAGACGAAAAGGAGCAAGAACAACACAAGGAAATAGGAAATGTTGCAGCATTCGGAATTTTGGTCTGTATACTTTCATGATGGGGTGATTTCTAATACCCTTCTTTTTTTCATAGAGTTAATGATTTATGCGCTGATGCCAACTTTCATGCAGTCAGGTCAAGAGTACCTTAATTTAATGGCAGAATCAGCAACAGCTGCGTGGAAATCATTTATTTCCCACGGAGAATACTCACTAGCTTCGGAAAGCAAGTGACCCCACCCTGACCGAGGCACGAACCCGAGACTTATGGGTTTTAAATCCTAAGCTATACTGACTGAACGGTCCTAATCTGAAGCAACGTGTGATAAATCTTTGGTTCGAAGGAATTCGTGGATAAGACAGACTTTCCTCGAGTAGAATCGTATCCGGCATCTCCGGAGTTCTAAGCAAACCTGTTAGGCATTTGCCATGTTGGCTGGTGGGGTGTTTGTGTTCAGTACATTGATTCGTTTTGTCATTTATACTTTCCTCGGCGCGTTCTCAGTGATCCACGGGTATTCAACTGTTATTTAACTCGTGAAAGTTTTATTTCATGCTACTGTTTTTTTATTTTGTTCTCTTTCTTGTCTTCTTATTTTTTGTTTCTCTTTTACTAATTGAAATTGGGCTGTTTGTACTTTGGTTCTCCTTTTTGGGTAATAGTTTAATTTAACTTAAGTTTATTATTGCTTAAATAGGATCCATGCTAAAATGCGGCATAAAACGGTTTAGTTAGACAAACAACAAACGGTAATTATATGCGGTCGCATATCTTATGGTGCGCTACTGCCGACCTTATGGTCCTTGTGTCAATACCTTCAAGGAGATGCTATTCGTTTTTACTTTTTGTATGTTATAATATGATTATGGTAAAATACACCCTCTTGAATTGGACCATAAATATGTTTTTTTAACAACAAAATCTATATAAATATTGTATGCAGGTTTTCAGAAATGACGACAATATGACCCAAATTTTAAATTTTCGAATATCTGTTTCAAGCAAGCGTTGTTTTCCAATGACTGTAGTGACTCCAGTGACTGTAGTTTTTGTTAATCTCTATTGGATCACCCAAAGGTAAAGGCCATTAAGCAGTTAACTAGCGGAATTTTGGACATTGTTTTACTGCAGATTTGTGGATAGCATCTTCGTTGTATTCCAAAGAAAGTA